AGCAATCTCCAATTTACTCTCATTTAATTCTAATCAATATAAATTTTTTGTAAACAAAAAGTAGTAAGCATTAGTAATGTTAACAAAGAATAAATAAAATTTGAAATGGAATCACGCACGGAACAAAAACACTTCTATTTTAGTTACTAGATAAATAAACTTTAATTCCTCGGAAAATATAAGTTTTACCAGTATACATTTTTTAAAAATAATATTTAAAAATAATATTTTAAAAATATATATATATATATATATATATACAGGGTGTTAACCAGGAATTAATTTGATACAGCGTTTTAACGAAATTGGGAGTTTGTATAATACTCTAATACTCGCAATACTCTAATTGAGAAATACTTCTCAACCACTCCCTCCTCCCCTGAGATTAAAATATGTTCTGGGAAAGCATGGGGTCCTTTTTTGGTGTTCTTTTTTTTTCTACTCTACTTCAGCGCTGCATACATTGATTGATCAGCGCCAAAAATATAATAAAATACGATCTGTATCATTAAAGATGAATATGAAATCAACTCAAAGTTAGTTGCTGTTTTACGACACGGCAAACTAAGAACTGATTTCCGAACATATATTAGGAAAAATATCTTTTTTTCATTATAAACTAATCAGTGTATATTAATTATTATTGAGAATAATTATTTTGATTTATTTTTAATCTTTATATATTGTCGCTGTTTTCATTTCAAGAGTATTATTTTAAATATATATTTTTTTTCAATGTAATATAGTAAAATAGTGATCTCCAATGAACCAATGATCTTCTACTTCTATTTATTATTTAAATTCTGCTCGATGTACCTTATGAACGAACCCTTACATCATTATGTAATAAATTGAGTCATCAAAAGAAATTTTTTGAAAATAGATAAGGTTTTAAAAATAGTAAACACGAGCTCATAAATTTCATATTTCACATTTTTTTATTCATAAATTACATAGCGAAATAAAGTTATAATCACAAAGTCTCAGCAAATACAACAACAAATGTCGTTTAATTATAGAGTAATATTATTAGCAAGCGATTGCACACGTGGCATCGAAGAATACAGTAAAAAAGTAAAAAACTTTAGCAAATTCAGTTGATATAAAATACCAAACAAAAAAAAAAGAAAAACAATAACTAAAAGATTTTCCGTAATACTTTAATATAATAATGATCAAAAGGTATCTGACATAACCTTCTTGATGTTTTTGTTGACCAATTACATGTACTACTTAAAGTTAAGTTTACCTTATTAAGTTAAACTTAATAAGTTATTAAACTTTCTAGCCAAAAAGGGCGAAACTTTTAAAGAAATAGGATTTGCGGGTGTTAAACCAAACAAGTTTGTTATTATTTTGGATCTTTTAGATTAGTACTTTAATTTTTTATTTTTATTAGTAATTTAACTTTTTTATACAATATTTGCTGTTGTTGGAATGCATTGCAAAAAACTATTTTGAATTTTATTGCAAGTTGCCACAAAAATCGCTCCAAAAATTCCAATTCTCATGATGTTTTTTCCAAGAAACCAATTTTCGCAGTTATGCAATTGCGTTTTTATACCAATAATGGTGATTTGATTTCATGTTTTACGCAATCAATGAATTAGAATTTTTTATGTTATTTTTCTATTAGTTTTAAATAATAATTAATTTTAAATTATCTTTAGAATTAATATTAAACTTTAATTTTGAAAACTTTTTTTGGAGAATGGGATTTTTCCATCTTTAAGTTAGGAATTTTAATTTTATGAGCATTTGGGAAAACCGCGTTTGACAGGGCGCCACAGGGCTAGTTTACACCCTGATATATATATATATATATATATATATATATATATATATATATATATATATATATATATATATATATATATATATATATATATATATACATATATATATATCATACTTGTTAAGTTGGTACCTACCTGACACGGAGCAGCAGCGGATAGTTCAACTTTAAGAAACCAGGTAGTATAAAAAACAGAGACAAAAGTTGCCACTTTAGTAGTTTCATGCTTCAGCCGTTTTTCCAGACTAGGTATAGCATCCATCATAAGTTGGAGTTTTAAATAGTAGATACCTATAAAAAAAAAGTATTATTTTTTAAATTTTTAAAAAGCCTAATATTTGATAATGTAAAACAAACTCCTTATTTTTGCTATGAAACTATAATTTTACTACACTTTGAACTTTTTCTTATCATAAACCTACAATTCCTTACATTTTGCCACGAGGCGAGTATTGTGGACCGCTCCAGAAATACGAAATTTCTACCTGTCCTCAGAAAGCACCATAAGTGTAAGCTCTGCCA